TTGAGCGCCGTCACAAAAACATGGTTTTTAAAGCACGCTACAGATTTTTCTACATGGCACACCTCTACATATTAGCTCCACCAAATTTTGGCCGAATTGTCAGTGCACTCCGATATCGCCAAGACAAGGCTTGGTGCACGTGTTAAACGCCCCGGCGAGTCTTGCAGTCCTTACATTGAAGATATATTTTCGCCCTCTGTCACCGCATCGACAATTATATGGCAGAAAACAACCATGTACGCCACCTGCTCAAAGGCATTGCGACAGTCACTTTTAATGCACTTGCAGTGCGGAACCCCCCAATCATGACCGATGTTGTCGTTACCTGTCAGCACCTCGAGGAGCTTCAGACCACTTGGGTGCAACCTGACACGTATGAACTGAGCACTAGCCAGGACACAACAGAGCTGCGTGCAATGATTCGGTCTATCATCTGCGAGGAACTTCATGCACAGGCTTTACCTCGCCACCTTGATATTCGAACGATACCACCTGCTACTAGTCTACGTGACGTCGTGAGGGAAAACCTGACCTTGATGACTGGCCCATCAGTACCAAGCTCACACCCCGTACCCATGCCAAGTTAGGCTCACGTTGCTGCAATGAACCTGCGCCTCACTAAAGCCAGGCCTCGATGACTGGCACACCTGCTCCCATCCCACAGCCCTTGTTCATGTCAACTTATGCTCAGGTTGTTGCTATGACACCAGCACCCCAGCAAAGCGCAATGCGGCTACCAGCGCTCGGAGTGTATGGTTCGCTCAACTCACTCGCCCCAAGAGCAGCTGCCCAGCCTTATAACGCCTGGCACACCACGCGGCCGATTAGCTTTTATTGCTGCATGCGTGTTCATATTTAAAGGTTCTGCCGACGCCATCAGCAATACGAAAGATGAAGCTAAGATGACTCTAAACGGGACAATTTCTACACCACTCAGCCACCCTATTGCCGACTTTATTTAAACAGCGCACGCTGGTCACCGTCTCCGCAAAACTTCGGCTCAGTTGGCTGGTCTGGTTTCTCGCGTCGTCGCTTACATTCACTGATGCGGTGTTTCTCTTCCTCACTTCGACCTTCTACTTCGATTCCCCACCGTAAACTGGAAAATAAATAGTGCAGCTTCGGGAGGGAAAGCTGCATCTTTTGAACTGCGTCAAACCCCTCCGGACCGCTCATCAAATATTCCATTGGTGTATGTTGAAGGTATACAGACTGAGGCACTGGTAGACACAGGCGCATCAATTTCAGTGGTTCGTGCAGACTTTTCTACCTGCTTGAAAAAAGTAAGGACGCCATACGATGGCCCTTTTCTTCGTTGCGCAGCCTCAAGTGTTTGTTCAGCCTTCTAGTGTTTGTACAGTCCGCGTTTTCATAGATGGCATCCTTCACCACGTTCTGTTTCTTCTACTTTCTTTGTGCACTCACACACTCATTTATGGACGGGACTTCCTTTGTTTGGTATTGGCTTTCATATCACGTCGTCTGCGATTAATTCATACATCAGCTACTGAGAACTCTTTCGATGTCGATCCATACAGCTTCCGTTTCGTTGTTGTCGCTTTTTTTTTCATTTCGCCTGGAGTTGAACAAATTTTCACGGTTGCTTTAGATGCTATAGTTACCAGTGACGTGTTCATAGCTGCATCAGTTCGCTCCAAACCTGTGGGGCTTACCTTCGCACCCAGCCTTGTGCGGTTTAATGACGGTAAAGCATTGGTTACTACGTTGAACCGCACTTCTTTGCCAGTGATGCTGCCTAGGGCACTTCTGTGAGCAGCTTCACTGACATCGAGTCTGTTTCGCTGGTTTTCCTTCTCGCAGAATCACCGTGTTTGTCTGCTTCAACTGATACCAAGGCTACTACTCTGGCTCTAAGTGCTACCATAAGTCGTCGCATCACTGCCGAGCAAAACAGAGACCTCTTAGACCTTCTCCAAAAGCACAGCCTTTCATTTGAGTTTGAGTTTGAGTTTGAGTTTATTCAACCATGTGACAAGTACACGAAAATTCGATGTATATTGGTGCAATGATCCGGTCTATCATCCACGAGGAACTTCATGCACAGGCTTCACCTCGCCACCTTGATATTCGAACGATACCACCTGCTACTAGTCTACGTGACGTCGTGAGGGAAAAACTGACCTTGATGACTGGCCCATCAGTACCAAGCTCACATCCCGTACTCATGCCAAGTTAGGCTCACGTTGCTGCAATGAACCTGCGCCTCACTAAGGCCAGGCCTCGATGACTGGCACACCTGCTCCCATCTTACAGCCCTTGTTCAAGTACACGAAAATTTAATGTATATTGGTGCGAAGGGAAAAAAGCTGCATTTCACAGCTTGACTGGCCCCTTTCACCCAGAAAAAAATCTAAACTACAAATATACAAAAAATTACAAACATTACAGGCAGCGGAAAGCGACAATACAAAAAGAAACACGCATGTGGCCCATGACAGCAAATAATAGAATCACAACTCTAAAATACATACAAAAATATTTATAACAAAGCAATGCATGAAAGAACAAAAACTGAATAACCATTACAGAAATCACCGGACATTCATTTACAACACATTCAGCACATCCAATTTAACATTTCAGTTTTAGACAATATACGCAGATTATCAGTTGTTAGTTTCCATTTGTTCATCACACTTGGAAGGCAGTAACGAAGTGTTTCAAATCCATAGTTTGTGCGAGGACAAGGTACATGCCAAGTCTCCGTATAGCGAGTAACGCGACTGGCAGGATTTGTTGCAAGGTGGCCAAGGTACATAAAAAGATACTTCCTCTGCGTATTTCTGATTTAAAAGCTGACAGAAGCTGGTATTCGTTATAACAGCGAATTCTTAAAATTCTATAGTTTGTAAATATTGAAGCAGTGTGTGCGTTATAGGATACACCTTGAATGCACCGCAAGGCATTTTTTTGTAACAAGACCAGGTTCTTTAGAGATGCTTTGGAGCCTGTAGACGAGACCAGATGACAATAGTGTAAATGTGAAAAAAAAAGCATTGTACATTAATATTTTTTTTTACAGGTAGTATGTTCTGGCATCGACGCAACACACCTAGAACTTTTACAAAATTTGTGACTAATGTGTTCTGCATGGTAATTCCAGTGCCATATGTTCGTGAAAATGGACACCGAGAGTTTTAACTGTTTGGCAAAGTTTCAATTTCAACGTTATTGAGTATTAGCTTGTGAGACGTTTTAAATGACCTGGCTTTCGCACGGAACAGTACAGCCTTGCTTTTAGAGCAATTGATGTGTAGAGAATTTGCCACAGTCCAGGCATACATTTTATTTAGTATTTCATTAGCAAAAACAATGAGGTCATCAGCCGTTCCCCCAGAAACAAAATATACTAGTATCGTCTGCGTAGATTACATATTCTACAGAGCTGTCAATACGTACAATACCGTTGATAAAAATATTAAATAATAGTGGTCCCAGAACGCTACCTTTAGGTACGCCATTCTTAACGTTCATGGATGATGATAGCTCCCAATTGATTGATACACATTGTTTCCTATTAGATAAGTAGCTTCCTAATAAAGCTAAAACGGTACCGCGAACTCAATAACAGTGAAGTTTTTCTAGCAAAATATCATGGTTTAATCTATCGAAAGCTTTCGAGAAATCTAAAAATATTCCTAGGGTAAGTTTTTTTGCTTCTATATTTCTTAGAATCAATTCCTTTTGGTATAGTAAGGCACTTTTGGTTGAGAGGCCTGACTGAAAACCGAACTGTGACGGCGAAATAATGTTGTGTTTATTAAAGAAGTTTGATAACCGAATGAATATAAGTTTTTCACACCCCTTAGAGAAAACTGGTAAAATCGAAATTGGTCTGTAGTTTCCTAAATTGCTTTTGTCCCCACCTTTATATATAACCGTTACTTTAGCGTTTATCATTCTCTGAGGAAACAACCCAGTGGTGAACACCAGATTATAAATATGTACTTAGCAGGCGCATATCAGATCTAAAATGTATCTTATAGGTTCTAATTATAAGCCATCTATGTCCTCGATTTTACTCAATTTGAAATGCTGAAAAACGCTGATGACCTCTTGCGCGTCTGTAGGATTTGCAAACACAGAATTATTTAAAGCAGGAGGCAAATAACCTGATGAATCACAATTATGACTACTGTCAACTAGTGAGGTAAAGTACTCGTTAATTTTGTTTGCTAGTACTACGTCCTTGTATATTTTATTTTCAATAACCAGCTCACTAATATCATTAGACACTTGTATGGTAGATATAATAGCATTAGGTTGTTCCATAATTGCTTAGAATCGGTAACACCGTCAAACATCTTGAAGTATAATCGCGTTTAGCTTGTTTTTGTAGTTTAGTGAGTTTATTTCTGTATACTTTAAAAGCTTTAAATTTATCCGGGTCTCGCTTTATCAGAAACTCTTGATACAACCTATTTTTTTCTTTTATCATGTTGAGTATTGCGGGAGAAATCCAAGGATTTGCGCGCCCGTTTTGGTCTCTTTAATCTTTGTAAGTAAAATGTTTTTTTTATACACTGAACATAGAGTATCAATAAAACAATCATAAGCAAGATCAATAGAAGAACTAGATAGAACGTTGTTCCAATTGAGAGTTCCAATTTCCTCTCTCAAAGAATATAGCGTTCGCGGATTAATTTGTTGAAAGTGAGCGGCAGGAAGGATTTGACTCCTTACACTGGTGATGTTTTCTATGACTAGATATATGGGCAAATGATCACTTATCGGGGCACGCAGGACGCCTGCCTGTAACGTACTGTTTGTACAACTTGTGATAAACAAGCCTAATAGAGTAGAAGTGGTATCAGTAATACGTGTTGGAATTGTAATTACGTTTGTTAAGAAAAAAGAAGCAAGAAGGTCTGAAAGGCTCTTCTGTTTATGTGTGTCGCTCAACATATCTATGTTAAAATCACCTCCCAGCACCAGTTTGTAATTAAATTGGTTTACAACAGAAAATAGGTTTGACGTACGTTCCAAGGTTCTAGGCTGCACCTTCATTGAAGAGCACAGGATCTCGACTGAAAGCAGCTTCATTGTACGCCGCCCATACTGTGTTTCTTCGGTAGAATGACAAATCATTGAGGAAAATGTCACCAACATGCTCAAACGGGATATTACTTCGACCTTCATCCAGCTCTCGGTCGTCTCCTGTAGAGTTTGTCCAGAAAATGGATGGTTCTGTCCACTTGTGTGTTGATTACCGAGCACTCAATAATATATGAAAAAAGATGTATATCCTTTGCCACGCATGAATGATACCCTCGACTCCCTACAAGGTGCAGAGTTTCATCCAGTTTCGACCTTCGATCCGGGTACCTATGCCTATGCAAATACTTATACGCGAAGCAGACAAGAGGAAGGAAGCGTTTGCAGCGCCAGGCGGGCTTTACGAGTTTAACGTCATGCCTTTTGGCTTATGCAACGCTGCGGCAACATTCGAGTGTATGATGAATACTGTCTTACGTGGTCTCAAACAAAAAACCTGCTTATCTTATTTAGACGCCATCGTAATTTATTCTTCCACTTTTCCTCAGCACCTTCAGAGTTTGGACGAAGTTCTAACACGCTTTTTGAACGCTGGCCTTCAGCTCAGTGCCACTTTGCCAGTTAAGTACCACTTTGCCAGCACAAGCATCAAAGTATTGGGTCACCTTGTGAGCAAAAATGGCGTTCGACGCGACTCCGACAGGGTTGCTGCCGTAATTAGTTTTCCTCGTCCGGGTAATCAAAACATTTGGGAAGTTTCTTGCGCCTGGCGTCTTACTTCCGCCGCTTCATCAGTCACTTTGCTGCCTGTGTGGGGCCGTTACACAAGCTTCTGATGTCGGAAACGGCCTTCACTCGGACTGACGAGTGTGAGTGTGCTTTCGAAGCCCTCAAACGTGCTTTGACATCAGACACCGTCCTCCGTCACTTCGACGATAGTGCATCCACTTTCTTTCACACAGATGCTAGCGGCCACGCAATCGGTGCTGTCCTTCTCTAGCGCGACAACACTTCACGTGAGTGAGTAGCTGCGTATGCCCGGCGCACACTAACATTTGCGGAGAACTACTCGATAACACAAAAGGAATGTCTCACTGTTATTTGGGCCATCCAGAAATTTCGACCTTATTTTTATGGACGCCACTTCACTGTGATTACCGACTGCCATGCTCTCTCTATGCTGGTTCTCTTCGCTGAAGAATTTGTCTGGGTGCCTCGGTCACTGTATACTTCTTTGCAAGAGTGCAGTTTTGATGTTGTGTACAGGTACGGCAAAACAGCAGCAGGATGCCAACGCTCTGTCTTGCTGCCTTCTTCTACTTTAATCTCCAACTACGCATCATCAATACCCTTCAGGTGATCAAATGGCTTCTTCTTCACTCATGTTATTACCCCCCCCCCCACAGTTGCTGGGTCGCTATCTTTAAAGAGCACCGCTCAGTTTGCCACGTGCCAACGTGACGACCCCTACTGTAACCGCATCATGGGATACTTGAATGGCTCGCCTTTTCCACCTAATGCGAGACTACGTTTTCTGCTTTGGCAGTTCAAGCTAGATAACAATGTCCTGCCGCGCTATACTTACAATGCCGATGGGCATCGGTGGGTGCCAGTACTTCCCCATTCGCTGAGAAAAGAAGTTCTCGAATTATTGCACGACGACCCATCAGCTGGACACTTAAAATTTGAGATCTACACCCAAAAGGTTTACACCCTAAAAGGTGTAAAACGGGTGTACGCATTAAATTTACCCATGTGAACACCCTTTTACGCCCCAATTTTTAAGTTTGAGGTGTTCGTACTTAAAACAACCTCAAAACACCCTATTTACACCCTCATATGCGGGGTGTAATGAACAAGGCTACAAATTATTGATTGATATGTGGGGTTTAACGACCCAAAACCACCATACGATTATGAGAGAGGCTGTAGTGGAGGGCGCCGGAAATTTCGACAACCTGGGGTTCTTTAACGTGCACCCAAATTTTGCACACGTGCCTACAAGGCTACAAATGCACGGCATTTTCGGGCCGTTTTGCTTATACTGTTAGTATACGTTAACCATCTTGATACAAGCAAGGCTCCCACTATTAGCTGCTTGCGAGTCTAGTAAAAAATAGAAGCAGAAAGGAGTGTGAGCAAAACGCAGTTTTCATCGATAAAGCACGCAAACTACTATAAGATGCAAGATACAATAGGAGCGACGCTTGTTCAATAGAGTAAGGGCAATTCTCTTGTACCTGTTTCTTTCATCTGTGTCATTTGCGTGATTAGTCAACACTCACAAAGTGCACTGATTTGCCTGAACAAGGCAATGTGGCGCATTTTCGTGTAGCCATGCATAGAACACTCCCCCGTCCTCCTCCCCCCGTCCCCCATAAGATCGAAGCCTTTAAATCTGGAGATAAAACGTCCACCACCTGCAAAAAAACAACAACAGCACAGTTGTTTAGCCATAACCACCACGTCAGCAGGCTATCAGGTCCCTTAAAAACGAACATTGACGTCATGTATTTTAGCAGGCACGTTTTATTTAATTACTGTAGCGAATGTTCCTCTTCATGTGTCCTTAACAGTGCATGATGGAAATGAGAAAGAGGACACTGACCATAAAGAAAAATGCAGAATAAGGATATTTCAGTGACCTTGACGCAGCCTTGCTCACAATGACGGGAGCCTTGTGTACTAAATTGCGAACAAAGCTCTCCCCAGGGGAGCCGAAACGCATTCTGTAGTTCTCTCTCTCTCTCTCTCTCTCTTCGATTTTATTGTGGATCTCCTTCTTTTAATTTATGTAACTTCCACAGCATACGTGCTTCGGTCAAAGCCTTGACTTTGTAGGTAGTGAGAAAACAACATTGATGAAATATTTTCAGCCGTGGTCTTGTTCCACGGACTGCAGCCTAAGTACAAATGTATTGCCGCAAATTGAAGACAGAAGTAGTAATTAACAGGTTGAGAAAGTAGCAGCAGGTCAGTAATTTTATTTACTGCGTGCCAGAGCGTTCCTATTCTTTCTTGTTATCGCTTGATGCATAAAAGCGTGCAGATGCGCGTATGTGCTGTCGTCTTCGTCTTCCTAGCAGTACGCACGTGGCAATATGTTCTCATCGAATAGTGTGACGGCCGATGCATGCAATGTTGCAATATCTTTACCGAAATGAAAGTGCTGATAAAATATCGCCTACGTGACCTTGAATGTGCAGTCCCTAAAGACCCATAGAGGTAAGCAAAAATCACTAGCTTAGCTTTTTTACCAAAATTCACTACATTAGGTCGGTGAAGGTGCGCTAAACTTTGCTCCTGAATATTTCAAATGCGCGTTGTGACCAGTAGTTCGTGCTGGCCGCACTGCATTGTCACAAAGTTCACTGCGGTTCAGATGCACTGTTAAAGAACTAGTATAACGCAACAGATCGGTGCCACAAAAAAAAGCAGCACTCGCGCTATCAGCAGAGGGCCAGACCTAGCGTTAAACCTCATCTAGCCGGTTTGAAAGCGCGCCGATGCCATCAAGTCTCGTCGCCTAGACAACCTGGGCTGCCCGGTATTGCTGCGCGCCGGGCGCACAGCGCGGAAAAGGGGTCGAAATCGTCTTACATGTCACTGCGTGCGCTGGCGAAAAACCTTCCCGCGTGTGTGCGTGTGGTGCGCATGGCTTCTCGATCGGTAGAGAATATTAGTCGGTGTTTAGTTTGAAATGGGCCTGCGCTCTGTGCTCCACCAGTGTGTTCTGTCAGTGCTGATTATTGCGAAGGTGCACCATCCTGAAGACTGGACCTGAGGAATTATATTGTGGAGCACTCGAAGTGAAATAGTGAGTACCGCTCTCACGTTGTTCCACTCAGCGCTTTGTTAACTGCGTGAGCACGAGAATAACGCCTTCAAACAATTTTGTTTTCAACTAGTTGATGACAAATCTGCATTTGTTTACTTAGCGAGAATATTTGTCCGAACTGTTTCACGGGGATGATGGCGAAGTGTGATTGTGGGCAAGTTTTTTTTGTTTGTTTAGATTGTTTGGAGTACAAAGCAGAGTGAGCGTGCGCCGCTGAGGTTCAGCGAAGAACTTGAACAGATTTTTGCTGTGCCCTTTGTTGGCAGCCGTTTTTAACGGGGCCCGCTCGTGCTGCTCAACAATTTTACTTTACTAATTATTACAAGTGTGGGGACGGCGCCTGTTAGCTCTACGCATCAACCGTATGTAAGACGCATTTGCTTGGGCTTGTCGGTAGTTCATTTATTTTGTTTTTTTATTGCACAAAAAGATCGAGAGCGGAAAACAAGGGGGGGGGGGGGGTGTCCATGTCGTTCTTTTCGGTTCTTTTTCGTTTTGTGCGGTAACACTACCGTGATAACTCGGATTGATGCATCGGGTGACAACACAGCATATTGCTTCGCGTTAGGCGCGCCTCGCGAACTTTGCCTACTTGCTAATACAATCAATTTTGTTAGATTTGTCTGCACAGGTATTTTCGTTCACCCGCAACGTAGCGTGACACTGCCGACAGCCGTGTCCATGTAGCGGATCGAGCACTGAAGCTGGACATTTGTTTGAACAGACCTTTTAGTCTGTATATGTGCTCGAATTGCCTACTTGAACAGCGCAAACGCTTGTTTGAACATAACTGCTAACGTTCGAGCACATTTTATTCAGATTGTTTCCATCATGTGTACCTTGCGAAATATTCTTTTATTCAGTGTTTTATTGCCATCGCCTCGCTTTGGCGTTTAACTTCGCTAAGTACTTCAGATGATAAAGGTATTTTCGCTATGTGAAGCGTATTATTAGTTTTTGTTTCACAAAAACACTTTATTGTTATACCTACTGCACGCTATCTAAGCATGTGTTGCAGCCAAAATGTAAGACTGGGCAGCATATCTATCTGGGAACACAACACGCAAAGCCACTGAACAGCCTACGCTGCACCGGGAAGGAGTATGCTTTCTCACCCTGACAGCAAGATTGAAACAAATGGCCCTAATTTAGCAGTATGCAATGGTCATTGAGTAAAGGTAACAGGGTCACTTTATTCGAAATTTTCCAGCC